TTTTTTTAATTATTATTATGATTAATCGATGTTGAAAACAGATGTGTTCTTTAATATTTTTGTGGAAACTGATACGTTTTTCTTCAGATGAATTGAATTGAAGGTTCAAAAGAACAGCATTTCTGTAACATTACATGTCTTTTCTGCCTTCATTGTGATCAATTTGATGCATCCTTGCTGAATAAATGTATATAATAATAATAATAATAATAAAAAAAAAAAGCTTGCTGACCTCAAACTTTTGAACAGTAGCATATCCATGTAGTTATTTAATTCCACAGGTGCTATGTAATTAAAATCAGATGTAGTCATGTGCATGTGATATAGGCTCAATAACCAGGGATTATTAAGGGATCTTTGAGTCTTTTTAAAGGTGAAAAGGTAACTGGAGAAACGCGTCTCACTTTGCTGCTGAAAGGTGGAAGGAGATACTGAGGGATCTAGTCCACTGGGCAAAAGTCAAAGGTCAAGAAAGTGCTGCGTCATCTCCAAACCGCACAGCAGCACCACTGCGGAGAGACCCGAGTCATGATGATAGTGTCAAAGTTATTGAGATAAGACAAACCAGCCAAAACCACACCCAAACAATGCACCAATCGCAAATCTCATTATTCTTTCCTACACAAACCCACATCCTGAAGACCAACACAGACGTTTAAAACCTTCAATGAGACACATTCCCAGGAACATAGAAGACAACTGCAATACGTTCATGCTCATAAATTTGAGTAAACAAAGTAGAAGGAAATTCATACAATTCAGAAAATGATGGTTTATACTCACAATAAAAAAGATGCATGCATGTTTTACTGTTTAAATAATATGTTTTAAGAATGCATGTCATGATTTTGTCAGCTTTTGACTCTGACTTGAAGCTCGTAATATGCAATGGCTATACAAAATGCTATTTTTATTGTTCATTTCATATTTGTTCCTGTTGTTGACTATCAATTGTATGTTCTCTGTAGCAGTAATGTGGGAAGACATCTACCCCACTGATGCTGCACTGTTGTCAATGTGAATGACTCATTCTGGTTCTCTGCACCGGGTGAACCCACACTGCCCACTGAAGGAATACTGCACGATCAGTGTGCGGTAATGATGCCCTCTGACACACCCAAAGACCACTCACCTACACCAACGAAGACCCATCACTCCGATACAGTCTAGCTGTGACACCAGCTGGACTCTCGTTTTAACAGTTACATAAATACACAGCGAAAAGTGTTAAGTCAGCAGAGCCAGAAGGAGTTTATCGAGGTGCATGTGAATGAGATGTGTTGCTATGTTTCGCGCTCTCAGGCGGATACTGCGCTGGCTGTACATACGCTTGCATGACTCAGTGTGAGGTGTTAGTCATAGCTATAGATGCTACTGCCTCGACTACACATTTCCCTCAAACCAAGTCTAATTTCGAAGTAATAAATGAGAAAAATAGCACTAAAAACTAGTTTGGCTGTTTAATATCATGCATAATAGTCAATAGAAAATTCCTTTTTTTATTGTGCTACCATGTGACACTAATCAACAACGCCTAGAAGTTGTCATTTACTCTCAGTCGATATGCATGGCACAGAAGAAATATTCATATCTGATAGGCAAACATGAATAGTTCATGTGCATATGCACAGAAAAAAGGTGTGCAAAACTACAAAAATGAATTGCAATGAAAAAATGACAAGTTAAATAATAAAAAGGTCATTCGAAGCCTGTACACACTAAAAAAACCTAAAAATCAAAGGTTCTGAAATATCTGAATCATATTCATAATATATATAATATAGCACACTAACATATTTTAAAAGGACTGAGACATTAATAAATAGTACAGATTCTACATTCTAACATATATTAATCTATTATATATATATATATATTCTTTTGACAGCATACTAAAAGTTACATGTCAATCTTCTATTAAAATTTCCTACCTTTGAACTCCAGCAGAGGTCTGAAATGCGGGTAAAGGTGTAATGTTGCATTTCCCTGTGAGGAAAAGAAGCAAACATGTTGATTAAGGAAAGATCAGACACATTTAAAGAGGAGAATGTGGTGTGAAGTCAGAAGCCAGGCCCCGCTGTAGGGAGGCTCCCTGCTCTTCCTCTCTTCCTCTCTCCTTCTCTCTGCAGGCTGAGTGATGGTGTGAAACTCTCGGCCACGCTGCAGCTCTTTTCCTGTTCTGCTGGAAGGCTCTTCCTGTAAAGAGCTGATAATCCTTTCATATCACTCCTTCACTGTAATTGCATTACTCACGTTGAGGTCTTCACGAGACAGTGAAGGAAAGAGAGAGAGGGAGAGCCCTATATGTTAAGGAAAAAAGACGCTGTGTCTTTAAGAAAACCCCTTTGCTTCCAGAAGGAGCGACTGACTAAGCTGTGATATGGTCTGCTCTTTCGCCACATGCACGCATGTACAATTTTGCCTTTTTTGTAATTTTGTCCAGGTTGTCTTTTGGCCAAAGCATTTCCTCTTAAATACTTTTGCATCCCTTTTTGCATTCTGCATGTAGACATAGCTCAGATAATTTGGCTTTTAAAAAGAACTTAATGATAAATGCTTGAATTCATGTTGAAATCTTTGGCTTTTTGATATTTCCAGACCTTTTAACACTTTTTATGGAAGAATCTCTTATGCTCACCAAGTCTGCATTTATTTAATCAAACAATTCAGTAATAAAAAAAGTAATATTGTGAAATATTATTATTTAAAATAACTGTTTTCTATTGGAATATATTTTCAAATGTGGTGCTACCTAATATTTTTATGGAAACTATGATGGACTTTGTTTTTCATAGTTCTTTGATGAATAGAAAGTTATAAAGAACAGCATTTACTTATATATATTTTTATAACATAATTCAAAATATATATATATTTTTAGAACAATACAACAATAGAAGACAACGTTTCTGTCACTTTTGATCAATTTAATGCATCCTTCCTGAGAAAAAGTATCAAAAAAGTTATTATAAAGTTATTATACTATAGTATAATTACAATATAATTAGTATAGTATAATATATAATAGAATTAGTATAATAATTATACAATAAAGTTACTATAAGTAAGATTACTCATTTATTTTCTTAGAAAAAGAATCTGTGAAAATAAAGTTAAACAACTGTCTATATTTTCCTCTCTGTTTAATCAAATTGCTGTCTATTAAAGATATCTTTGTTTCTGTAGATCTAATTTATGCTGCCTTAATCCAAGCAGTATTTTACTGGCACATTTGACTGTATTCAAATTAATTCCGAAGAAAAAATTCCAGAGATTCCTTCTGTATCTGCTCACAAGAATGCTTTTTCTGGACTTGTGCCATTAAGGAGAAAAGTTGAGTGAGAACAGGGAATAATGTGGAGAAAGGACTGGGTAATGTCATTTTTTTTCACATTTTCTGCTCTGATTTTAGGAGGAAACATGCAGATTTTCTGTGAAATGGATTTAAACTGAAAAAGTTATTAAATGAATCTGAGCCTACAACATTCTTATTGGTAGCTGAAAGCAAACAAACAGTTCATAGTCTCTTCTTTAAAAGTTATGCCTCTGTATAAACACTAAAGCTGGTTTTCACAGCCATCCTGAGATCAGGAAAAGGTGTCCTTGAAAAAGTCAAACTGAGAACAGGGAATAATGTGGAGAAAGGACTGGGTAATGTCATTTTTTTTCACATTTTCTGCTCTGATTTTAGGAGGAAACATGCAGATTTTCTGTGAAATGGATTTAAACTGAAAAAGTTATTAAATGAATCTGAGCCTACAACATTCTTATTGGTAGCTGAAAGCAAACAAACAGTTCATAGTCTCTTCTTTAAAAGTTATGTCTCTGTATAAACACTAAAGCTGGTTTTCACAGCCATCCTGAGATCAGGAAAAGGTGTCCTTGAAAAATTCAAATAAGGGTTGCTTCAGAAATTCATTAAAACAGGTTAAGCTAATGTGCTTTCATTTGATTGATCTCTTTGCAGCTCTTTTTATTGAATGACACCCAGAGAAAACCCCCGCTGGTCAACATGTGACCCATGAGTCGTTATTATTAATTGCCCCATAATTAACAGCACTCACAAATGCACTTTCACTACTCATCTGTTTCTGTCACGTGACTTTTCCACTCATCCACCATATTTATGACCATCAGAAGGGCAAAATAACGGCAGTAAATACAAAAACACATGAATACACTATTCATCTTTGTATACCTCTGATAATATACATTACCTGCACTCCTCCGCTGGTATTTGCAGATGGACTGTGCATTAAATGTATATAACGTTAGCTGACGTAGGGTCTATGCTAACTTGAATTCTGTAAAATGTATTATGGAAAAAGTCAGTTGACTGAAACAGATGAATATGCGCGCTAAAAAGGTCATCAATGTACCAACACAATCAAACATAAAAACCATTTGCCTTGTACCATACACAGAGTGCAAACTGTTCGCCTTAAGCAGCTTTCTCACAATAATCTGCTTTCTGGTGTGCACATAAATGTACTTACTGTTAGTGACTCTCGTTTTCTTCCACTTGTTATAAATGTGAAGCCTTGTGTCTCAATGGCAACACCTGTCTTCTGTATGTGCTCCTCCACATACCTGAAAGACAGATTTTATTTTAAACATTTTTATCCTCATATTCATATACAAAGTGTATCCTTGTTTGTAATCATACTTTTTACTCATTTTTTACAATTTTTTAGAACTATGGTCGAATGCAGTGGTTTGCAACCAGGGGGCCACAAAATGACTTAAAATGATTTTAATTTTAATTCATTTTATGATTTCTAGACCTGAAAAATCATGTAACTTAATGAAATCTTAAAATGCCATGGACATTTTAATAATTAATGTATATTTTTTTGTAGTTATGTCAATCTCTAAAATATTTTATCGTGTAGAAATTATGAGTAAAACTTTTTTTTTTTAAAATCCTTGTCCTTATTCATAATCCTTCAAATTCATAATCACAAAAGGGGGCCTTGGAGTCAAAAGATGTTGGTACAGAACAACAAAATCAGGAAAAGAAAACTGATAATTCTCATTATTCTCATCAGTCTGTATAATCTTTATCTCCAGATCTGATTCTATGAAATCAGTTAGGGATGCAAGGTGTTTTTGATGTGAGAGGTGTGATTACCAGTTAATAAAAGAGCTTTTTCCAGCAGAATGGTTTCCCATAATCATAACTATAATCTTTTTCTGTGGCGGTAACAGTCTCACTCCCAAACACTCTGCAATTTTCACCAATCCTGTCAAAAACATCAAGACAAAAGGAGCTTTATTATCAGTACATGATGCCTTATTGCTTTCCAGCAACAATTCAACGAGGATAATACTATGGTACTTTGATGCTACTGTTTTATACAGTAAATGTGCATACAAATATATAATTTGCACCTGAATATAATTGTATAATTGTATGTTGCTGCCCTGTAAAGGACATTTCATATTGTATAATTGTGGATTTACATATGAAGAGTTTATTTGCAAAAACAGATAACTCCGTTTTTTGACATTTTCAAAAATCATGTTTTTTATTATGTAATCATGTTTTTATTGTGTTTTATTGTGCTAGTTAGCTGTCATGTTTAGTTATTTTTTAACCTAATCGAAATAACCCAACTGCAGTTTGATTGAGATTAATTGGAATCTGAGTTATCTGTTTTTGCAAATGAACTCTTCATATACTGTACTATGCCTGCTGTATATATTCTGTACTGACCCATAGACTACAGTAGTGTGACATGCAGAGACAACTGGTCAACATAACTGTGTCTCAAATCACTGTGAGCTGCCTACATAGTAATGTTGCCATATCATATGAAGTCTAAAACTGTCTAGGTAACTTAAGTTTTTTTAGACACAGTCAATAACACAACTTACGAATGAGTGACTAGTGTAAATATAACTAACAGCATCGTTATATATGTCGGACGTATGATGATTGAACTTTCAAGCTGATTTGTAACGTTACCACACAAGGTTTCATAATGTTTTAGATCACAAACGCACAAATAGCAACATGTGTTTTTATTTACCGTTGTCGTTGTCGATATATAAAGTGTGGCATTCTTTCAGAATTCTTTCACTCGGAGATGTAATGGTCGACTCCAGCGGGTTTGCTACAGCTCGCGGCTTCTTACATCCTGACATGTCGAAAGTCTGGAGGACTGATTTTCACCGGCACCAAAAGCGGGGGAACCAAAACAGTGTCGCACACATGTAGAGACGTCAGAAATGTAAAGCTTTGGCGCTCTCTAGTGGAGGTAAAAGTTGAAACGTTCCAACAGGGAATGGAACGCCTTTATATGAACAGACTTGACGCGTTAGCTAATGCTAAATATTAGTAATAAAAACAATTAGCATAACATAACAAAACATAACATATAACATAACAATATAATATAAAATGAAAACAATAAATACTAGATACTTTTTATCCATTAGTGTGGAAACATTTGCCTTTGGCTTCTCACATACGAAAAAACAAATGGACAAATTATGTAAAAATATAATTATAAATCTAAAATAATTGTTTGTATTATAATTTTTTATTATTTAAAACGTATTTAAATTATTTTAAAATTATTACAAATATTAGCCGCAATAAAATACAGTCATTCATATGTTTATTACTGTGTTTACATGAACTATTATTGAAGTTACATTTTGCACTTGTACCATATTTTAATGCATTAAACTACTTGATATACATAGTATTTATTTATTTATCTATTTATTTATTTAGTCATTCATTCATTCATTCAAATAAATAAATAAATAAATAAATAAATAAACATCAAGATCAGTAGGTTTGTGTGCATTTATGTACTGTTTATGCAACTGTAAGTAAAAAAAGTATGTATTTTCATAGTAACTAAAGTATGTATTTCCTATGGAGGGCCAAATTACTCAAAATTAAATCAGTTAATAAATTTTGAAATATATAAATAAATCGTTAAATACATAATTAAATACATATATAAATATATAAAGTCGATTACAATTTTTAATCTAATTAATTACATAATGTGTCGATTAATTAATCGAATTAATCGCAAAATTAATTTGACTGAAAATAACCACAAAAGATTATTTAAAGCTATTTCGATAGATAGATAGATAGATAGATAGATAGATATATAGATAGATAGATAGTTAATGGTTTAATGGTTTAATTTTGAGTAATTTGGCCCTCCATAATTTCCACAGTAAGCAATGGAAATTGGATATGAGGGATGCTTTCAGGGATAATATGCCAAAATACAGAGTACAGAGGACCATTGGCCATAGTAAAATACAGGTCTGAACCCCCAGTCTTAACGTTGTGAGCTTGATCAACCTGTCAGACTCGAGTCAGACTCGAGCACCGTGCATGCGTGCGTTAAATGCGGTGTGTGTCTCTTTAAGAGCGCAGGTGAAGGGTGTGGTCAAACAGCAATTTCAAAGTTTCCGGGAAAGAAAGTAAGTAAACAGGTTGAAGATGGACATGAATCAAACGTGACACAAAATATACAAGATTCGAAGCCCAAAGCGAGGTTCGAACGGTCGCGATTTTATCTGAATAATTTCCGGTTATTTATTTAATTCATAGAAAAGGGTTTGATGCGTTTGCCGGGAAACAAAAGGAAGCAAACGAATTTGCCAAGGAAAATATTTGATCCCATAATCTGATGGGATATCCTTACAATCCTAAAATGATAATATCTGCAATAGTTCTACATCTGCTTCTTCTGTCACATCAAACAGGTGAGTTGACAGGAAAATCTATTCTGGTTTCACTTTTATATGAGATATTATGCTGAGCTATTCTTATGTATTTTATATAGATACTACAAAGTCATTTGCTATAGTGTTTACATGGTGCTCCAGGGAGTTTTCAAAAATACCATGGTGCATGTTCAAACCCCATGGACGTACCATAGTACTTTTTTTGTAAGTGAAACCATTGTACAGAATGATATTGACACGCTACTTCAAGATCTAGTACCAAGGTGTTACAATTGCACCGTATTCAAAAAACATGGTATTACCACAGTACTTTTGCTGCATGTTTGTAAGGGATCACAGTACTGCTTTAAACCACATTTCTCTGTCCTTCTTCCTGTAGTTTCAGAGGAGCAGGTGCAGCGGTATGTTACTGGAGAGAAGGATGAGAATACTACACTACAGTGTCTTGACCAGCCAGTTAATGCGTCTTCACTTCTATATCGTTGGAAGAAAAATGGGGCTGTTGTTGCAACCCAAAACCCCTCGAAGCCATCAGAGCATCTTTCCATTTCAAACAATGGCTCTCTTTGGATCAGTGGCCTTCAGTATATAGATGAAGGCCAATATGAATGTGAATCCCAAACAAAGGATGGCAGCTCATGGCAAACTCTCTCAAACATCCTGCTTCGAATTGCCGGTATGGTGCTATGGATATCTAAATCGTACTAAAGCGACAATGGAAAGCTTTGATATGCAATAGATGTCTCTGGTTTCTGTGAGATCGGGAGTCCGACTTCAAACAGGTTTTTCTGGTTTAACTGCAATGCATGAACCTAGAAAACCGCCACCATGTGACTTAGATGCGTAGGATAGACACCATGCATAACGACTAACCGAACACAACAATTACAGTGTAGTTCCTCTTAACAGTTTGGGGTCAGGAAGATTTTTGAAATAAAACGAATATTTTTCTTTAGCGAGGACTCTTTAAATGAATCAAAAGTGATCGTAAAGAAAAATCAATTTCAAATAAATGCTTTTTTTAAACCTTCTATTCATCAAAGGAATGTATCACATTTACCAGGAAAATATGAAGCAGGTACAACACCACTGATAATAATCAGAAATGTTTCTTGAGCAGCAAATCAGCATGAAGCAGTGCTGCACTTATGGCAAGATGAAAAGAAAAAATACCATCTAAACTTTTCTATAGACAGTAAGTTCCCCTCAGACATACATTCATATAAACTCCTACCCCTAATTGAATCACGATTTGTTTAGCATCTCAACCGATTTGAATCGATTTTCAACCGGCTCGCGGTTAATCATTACATCCCTAATAATAATAAATGTTTCTTCAGCAGCAAATCAGCATATTAAAATGATTTCTGAAGGATCACGTGACACTGAAGACTGGAGTAATGATGATACTAAAAATTCAGCTTTGTCAACACGGGAATAAATTACATTTTAAAATATTTAAATAGAACTCAGTTAATTGAAAATGTAATAATATTTCTGTTTTACTGTATTTTTGATCAAAGGCAGCATTGGTTCAATTCAATTCAATTCAAGTTTATTTGTACAGTGCTTTTCACGATACAAATCATTGCAAAGCAACTTTACAGCAAATTAAATTTCTACAATATTTAGTGGTAGCTTATCAGTGGTGACTGTCAGTTAATGTACATATGGCAGAAATGTACGGAAAAATCAATTAAAGACGTAATCAAACAGACGATGAACACTATTAACAGCAATTATTATATGATGCAATCAAACTTATAGCAAAATGTGGTAGTTCTGTATGTTGTTTCAGGGTTGGCATCATCTGAGGTCCTCTGAGCATAAAAGACTTCTTTCAAAAACATTATAAAAGTCTTACCGACCCCACAGTTTTTTGTAATCACATTTTTCTAATCTACACTATCAGTCCAGTTTTTGCTTAAATTTGCTTCTAGTAGCACAAATGAAACTTTATTTTCTTTGAGTGGGCCGACATAACCAATGTTGTGAGTTTGGGCCAGGGTTACGTGTGTTCCAAAAAAAATCTATGAAACTTCTTTCAAATCAGCCACTATATGTGCAGTTCTTTTGAGTTTTGATCTTTAAACACTCCCAGAATATTACAGCTTGAGTTTTTGCTTGCCTTCATCTTCCACTGCATCTCTGGCTAAATGTACTAAATTTAAACCATTATATTTAATGTGTCTTCCAGAGATGCCGTATCCCTTAGGAGATCCCATGGTAACCGCTTTGGTGGGCAGCAATATCACCCTCAGCTGTACTGAGACCGACTCTCTGCCACCCGCTAAGACTGTCTGGATGCGAAAGGACAACAAAATCATCAACACCACCTCCAAATATATTGTGTCTGATAATAACCCCAACTACAAACTCACTATAATCAATGTAACTAAGGAAGATGAAGGGATCTACTACTGCTACAGTATAAACCCTCTTGGTCCAAAAGAACTGGAAGTGTATCTTACTGTGAAGAGTAAGTTAGAAACTTGAATGTTTCTCCATACTTATTATTTTTTAAATATATATAACAAGAATTCTTTTATTCCTAGTTAAAACATGTCCAGATCACAATTTGTACTCCAATTCAAAATAGATAATGAAACCTATTTTTAGACCATTCCTATTTTTCGCACTGTCACAAGACAGTAATATGTCTGAATATTTAATTCTTGAGTTTTAACTTTTTTATTTGCATTCAAGTAATCTTATGATTTCCGTTGTTTAAGAATGAGATGCATGTTTTAAAAAATACATCACAGGTCAGATCTGGACATACTTCCCAATTGCTGGGTTTGTCCCTATTTTACCCAGCACTGGGCTGTATTTAACCCAGCATTTTTTAGAGTGTAGTGATGCTAAAGCTATGACACCTGTGCATGAATGTGATCAGACAAGATGTTTCTGACACTGCTCTGTAATACCTCTCCCTTTGCAAAAGTATTACACAACATCCTCCACGTGAACTTCTTCCCTTTGTAATAAAAGAAATTTCAGACTGTGTGCAATATGACAACGTTTAATCTTTGTTCTCAGCTTCTGCAAACAATAAAGGGGCCGTGGTTGGTGTCTTTGTTTCTGTTTTGATAATGATGATTGGAATCACTGTCGGTGTAACGATATATTCAAAGCGGGATAGAATTTGTATTGGTAAGTATTTTTGCATACTGAGTGCCTAAATAAAACTCTTTTTGTAAAGATTCTTTATATAAATGTTTATTTTTATTTTTCAGGTTTAGGATTTAGGTAAGTATGACCACAAAACATTAAAACGCATTAATAATCATAGTAATATGTCAGCATTATTCTAAAATATGTGTTTATTGTCTTCGTACATACTATAACATGCGCTGGTAAGGATGTGTGAAGCTGAGGCATTGTAACATTTTCTTTCTAGTCATTTAGATGATGACAGAGGGGATATACTGAGTTTAGTGGATTCAGATGAAGAGGTAATTTTCCATGATACTGTTCCACAACTCCCTCCGCTGACAAACGGACATGCAACCACACTTGTAGAGATTCACAGAATACCATCCAGTAAGTCAGCGGTGTCCCGAATATTGTTTAGACGTTTGTGATATGGTATCAAATGGAGTTTGTTTTGAAAGAATTGGGAACTGGGAAATTTTATATCATGATGAAATTAAACAAAACTTGAGCAAATAAAAGTAAGGCAAGTTTGAAAAATGACTCTTTTGATATTCAAGTTGAAAACCCTGGAAATGTGATAGAATTAAAAAAAAAAATTTTGTAAATACAGTATGTATCCAAACAATTGTCGAAAAAAATTCTGTATTGAATATATTTTCTCTAGTTATGCTCAGCTCTGAAATATTTAGTATTTGGTATTGATGATAAATTGTGGGTTTTCTGTACTTTCGGATTTGCTGAAACAAGTGTGTGTTTATTTTACAGGTGATCATGAAGATAATGCAGACAGTACAGTACAACATAACGATCAAACACATCCTTAGACTGTTAGTTATCAGTTTAAATGTACAGAAAATCAATTCTTCCAAATGGTCAACTCTGCTAAATTATTTGTTTGTGTGATATTTTCCTTGTATAATCTGTGTAAAGTCTAAAGGTCTTAAACTCATTTTAGAGAGGCCCTGTTTTTATTTTCAGTATTAGTTTTTAACATACTGGCCTCAATTCATGAAATTAAAACTTTTACTACACCATACTACAGTATGTCAGTGAACTGTTACGAAATGTTATTGTTACTTGAACTGGTTTGAATGATGCTTTCTTTATCATTGTATGGGTGAATCTCAACAAAATATGTCTGGGTCATATTTCGTGGCAAAATAATAATAATAATAAAAACCCTTAATTATATGAAGCCTATTTTGTACCATTGCAATTTCTTTGCATTGTGAATTAATTTTCATTTCAGATTTCCCTTCTATTCTCATTACTGTAAAACATCCAGACATTTTACTAACTTGTGTGTTTTGCCATTTTCATTTTCTCAATGGTGATTTCTTGTAATACAGTAATGATATTGTCCATATATATATATACAGTATATACGTGTGTGTGTGTAATAAAAATTATTATTTTTTTAATTTAAAAAATGTAAGCCTAAATTGAAGGCAGTAGGCTACAACAAATACTAACATTAGGGTGACCATACGTCCTCTTTTTCCTGGACATGTCCTCTTTTTGGACCTTAAAGGGGTCATAGGATGCTACATGCACTTTTACAAGTTGTTTGAACTGAAATGTGTGTTGGCAGTGTGTGTACACAACCACCCTATAATGATAAAAATCCACCCAGTGGTTTTAAAAAATTTTACACTACCATTGAGAAATTTTAACCAAACTATGTTACAGACTTTTCATTAAGACCCTAAAGAATCATATCAACTTGTGGAAAATGGGAATCCTATGACCCCTTTAAAAAATGCGTCCGGTGTTCTGACGATTTGTGCTACCCTGTCAGATTTTGCTACCTCCCATTAAAACAGATGGTAGCATAATTCGATAGCGAAAAGTGCTAGGCCTACCTATCAGATTTTGCTTCCATCATGATATTAAGGTGTGAGGCTTTATTAACATGTACACCTACCCCAACCCTAAACCTACCCTTACAGTAGGATAAATACAGTGTTGGTAGCATAATCTATAGCATTATTTGTCAGAACACTGGCCGGAATTTCTAAATCACCCAAAATGTCAGGGATTCGGCTTTTGCTTTCTACAGACGCCATTCATAGTGTGTTTTTGTTTTAGAGCCCTGCCAGGACTGTGTCTAGTCCCGCCTACTCCCTCAAACATTCTAATATTGCATATAATTTTCGTGCATCAGGAGGCCTCTATCAATATGCGGAGAATCTCTTTTGGATGAGCATACAACGTATGCTGTTCTGTGTCAGCTGCGCCACACGGATACGCTGTTTCCGTTCAGATCAAATCACAATGTAGGAAACAGATCCGGCGTGACGCAGCTGTCTTCAAGGCAAAACTTTAGACCTCATGCAACATCATCCAATGTCTCAATCACCCTCAGGAGGTACACAAGCAAAAGCTAAACTGAACATTGTCAATTATCAATTATTTTTTACAAAATTTGCCCTGCATACATTTCTGTCTTTAATGTGTAGGCACTTGAGGCCCAGTGCCCAATTTGCACAGGAACATTTCCAGTGTCAGAAGTAGAACCGCATGCCAGCTTTTGTGGAGAAAGGTAATGGTAATAGTGACTCACATTAAAGCTTAAAAACACCTAAAAGGGGCCGTGCTCTAATTTGGGTCATATCTCATGGTAACCTACCTGACTATGTTCATTACATTGGTTCAAAACAGTACATTGCAAAGGTCATAAAAATATCATATGAAATATATACACACACAAATTTGTTTGGAAACATTAAGGTTTTTTTTTAATGTTTTTTGAAATAAGTCTCTTCTGCTTATCAAGGCTGCCTTTATTTGATCAAATATACATTATATATTTATATTATAATAATATAAATATATATTATTGTGAAATATTATTACCATAACTGTTTTCTATGTGAATATCTGTTAAAATGTAATTGATTTCTGTGGCAAAGCTGAATTTTCATCATCATTACATCATTACAGTCTTCAGTGTCACATGATCCTCCAGAAATCATTCTAATATGCTGA